GTTCCCGACCTAGGCTTCTAATCCGGAGCAGGAGTGCTACACACACAGTGACACCTTCACTTTCAGACACTCAGAGATAGAACACCGCTTTCTATGGGAACCACTTGTTCCGCACTGCTAGTTTGTTGAGAAATCTTCAATGGCAAATTACTCACGTTAAGCCGCAATGACACGACTCGCACTGGAGAAAAAGGTGCAGGTTGCCATACTTGGGAGAAGCGAAAAACTTCTGATGCTACTTCAAGTTGCCAATTAAAATCTGCTGTGAATGTACCCAAAAAGAGGATGACAATGAGGATAATGACGGTGATGATGAGGATGATGTTGCATGAGTGCTTTCCACTTTTTTAATATATGTGAAGGGGATGTAAGCGCAGGAGAAAAAGGTGAGGAGATTGAGCATGCAACAAAAACAAAAAAGGTTTGACTTCATAGCGATAGGGAAAGAGGAGCGAGATGTATTAGATCTTTTTCACCCGGCACAAACCTCAACAGATTTGTGCCTTTTAAGTGATTTCCATCTGAAACCGACTCCTGTCATGGGCAATAACACTCCACTCCATTCAGTCGGGCAGGATAAAGTGAGTGAAGTTAGCGAGCACAGCTACACTATGTTTGATAGACTCCACCTCGTTCTGCTCTCTAGCCTTTGCTATCATCATCATCTCTTGGCTCATTAAAGGGAAAAGGGAGTGTGGGGAAACGCAAAGCAAATTAATACATTTTTAAAGTAGAAGTTTGAACTATTTCAGATGTTTTCTGGCAGAGGAATATGTTTGGCCCTTTTGAATGGTAAAAGTTAGGAATGCTGCTTTCTTGGACTTTTCACTCATGTCTATTATTCGTTTCCTATAATCTCTTATGCAAATGCAAAATACAGTTTGTTAAATCCTCTTATTTCAGCCTCATAGATCTTCATTATGCACAAAATATTTAAAGTGACATCACATTATAACAGCCTCATTAAACTTGGAATTATTTTTCACATTGGAAAATTCCACGAGGATGAAGAAAAAAGGCACATGACTTTACATTTCCTTCTCTTCCCATGACTGCGCCCTTTTATCCAACCAATGCAGTGGTCCTCCCTCACACATATGACTCAGCTATAAACTGAACAGTCTTTGAGCTAGTGAGCTAGTGATAGAGTTAAGATAAAATGGTTTTTTACATGTTAACAGTAAAATGTATAAATAAGCAGTCTAATTAATCTGTATTGTCGTGTTGGTCTCTCTGGTGGCTCAAAAACATCAAATAGAGAAATATGTTTTTTGATAATGATGTGCATTGATTTTCACATGGCTTAAACAAGAAACAGAACAACAATTATGTCTTCAGTAGATCATAACAACATCAATAGTATTGTAGTGTAAATTAAGTGTTGTGTAAATAAATTCCTTAGCTTGATATAAATAATAGTATTTGGGAGCATATGTACATTTTTGAAGATTTTAAAGCTAACTGTGGGAGGTCAATGAAACTGAAAATGATGACCACTGTGAGTTGAATCTTCACATGTTATTGGCTCTAGAAATGGCCCTGTTATTCTGGATATTGGTCGTTGAACTACCTTGGTCCAGACTCTTAACAACTAATACATTTATTACCATGATTTTCTGTGCATAAATATATATTCCCATAAGAGGATTAATCCTTGCTTATGGGGATCCACATATTTCCCTCTATTGGCACAAAAAGGTCAGAATTTGACATTATCAAGGAAACTTTTACATGGATCTGGCACAACATTTTGCAGATATTAATGGTTCCTAGACAATGTATCCTGTGACCGTGAGAGATCCCCTAGCATGATTGTGTAGCCATGAGGTTATATTTGGTATTTGTTGTGACTTATTTTTTCATTTAATCGTTTATTTGAATAGGGACAATGCACATTAATGAACACTTTAGACGAATAATGCTTCAAGTGTAAAATGCCGGATTTTAGCTTTGAGCTCATTTCCATCCGTAGTCCCTGACATACAAGATATATTAAGAACATGACATTTGTAAACATAGCAAAAATTAAATACATGATATGCAAAAGAGCAAGAGCAGCACACACAAGTATTTACCACATGGCAGTACGCTATAGCAGCAACAACATATTAAGTACTGAGATGATGTAAGAGATGCATAAAGTGCCAGAGGAGATACCCCTGTGTTAAAGTGCATTTAGCGGTGATTACACGTCTGGTTG